ATATATATATATATATATTCTATATAGAATATATATATATATATATATACATACATATACATATTTATAATTTGTATATATACAAATATACAAATATATATGTGTGTGTGTGTGTTTAGACTGTACAACTTTTTGTTTAGTTGATCTACTTTAATGGTTTTAAGGATACGCCTAGATATTTATTTACATGATGTAATCTCAAGATACAGAGTTATCTTGGGATTTTATTTTTATTTCTTGTGGACATAGTGGGCTTATGTAGTATTATGTATATGTAGAATTGTAGTTTTCAGACAAAACTTTACTGTTGTAAATCATCTCCAAGTTTCATAAAGCAATACTGTGATGAAACTACGTAGGTGTAACATAAGAACCACTTATTGGACTGACCATGAATACTAGAGGGCAGCACGGTGGTGCCACTGGTAGAGCTGCCGCTTCTCAGCGAGCAGGTTACCCTGGTTCAAATCCTGGTCAGGGGGCGTTTCTGGGTGGAGTTTGCATGTTCTCTCCATGCATGCGTGGGTTTTCTCCAGGTACTCCAGTTTCCTCCCACCGACCAAAAACATGCATGTTAGGCTGATTGGTAACTCTAAATTGTCTCTAGGTGTGAGTGAGAGAGTGAATGGTTGTTTGTCTTGTTTGTCTCTATGTGTCCCAGTGATGGACTGGAGACCTATCCAGGGTGTACCCCGCCTCTCGCACAGTGATGGCTGGACATAGGCTGCAGTGACGCCCACAACCCAAAAAGGAAGAAGTGGGTAAAAGATAATGGATGGATAGATGGATGGATGAATACTAGAATGGACTTATGGCCACCTCCCCCCACTTCACAGCCATTCTACATCAAGGAGGTACATGATGAGATTGTCTTATTGTATATGTACCTGGGACTGCAGTTAGACAATAAACTAGACTCTGTAGGAAAGAGCAAAGCAGGATGTATATCCAGAGGAGACCAACATTATTTAACAGCTGTATGAAACATATGTTTTTTCAAGCAGTTGTTGTTAGTTTCCTCTTTTAGGAAATGATCTGTTAGGGAGGCAGCACCAGGGTTACGGTCAGTAAGCAACCCAATGAGATAATCAGGCAGGTTGGCTCAAGGTTGGGTATGTAACTGGACTCTGTGGAGGTAGTGGTGAAGAAGAGAGCAAGATCCACACTTAAGGCGAGGACAGTGCCGGTCACCCTCTCCACAATGTCTTCTTGCTACAGAGAGGTGCATTCAGTGGTAGGCTGCTGTTGCTCAGTTGCTCCACTGCGAGACAAGAAATGTTTTGCTACTCGGGCCATCAGGCTATATAACTACTCTGCTGAGATGGTTGAGAAATTAAGGGATGAGAACTATGGGGGCACAGAGTAAATGTGCACCTTTCTATGGCTTACTTATTCTGCTTATGTATTCTTAAATTTGTGTTTTATTAAATGCAATGCAACTTTTCATGTCAAGGTTTCAGATTTTTTTCTTTTTCTGTTTGCTTTCTTTTTTTTTAGCATGGACAAACTTTCCCTGTGGTAGAGTGAGGCCACCACTTCAAAGACCACCAAAGTACTACTTACTTTATACCTTTTGTTTCTAATCATTTTTTTTTGTTTGTTTTTAACGCAGCACCTATTTTTTTTTTTTTTTTGTTATTTCATGTTTTTCTGTCTTTTTTAATTAGGCTTTTACAACCTACTTGTGTTTGTTTTATACTTATGGAGTGATTGTCTCAACTTTGTTGGTTCTTATTCTGTTGCATGAATGGAAGCATCAAATACTGAATTTCTTTTGGTACAATAAAGTATTGCCTTGTCCTATCTTATCTAATCTTATCTTATCCCATCTTATCTTATCTTTTCTTTTAGTAGCGTGATCATCTTTTCATCTCACAAAAAACATTTTTTGTTTATTAGGATAACAAGCTAAAACTGGCTTTTTATCTTGAGAAAACAGAATAATAAACTTATGACCTTAAGAAAATCAAATCAAAATTAATATTAGCAGGCAGAATCATTCATACATTTTGTTTTGAAGTATAAACAAACTTGGATGGAATAATATCGAACTATTATTACTCTGACACACAAGCACACATATACATGTATGTCTGTCAAAAAAACAAATGACTGATTCCGATGTATCTTTTTCGGTGCTACTTGTTTTCAGCCAGGTTTCTAATAATGCTAATGCTCTCCAGGAACTGTGCTGGTGCATATACAAAGTACAATAACTGGTAATTACTGAATGTGGAAAGCAGGTGATTACAGACTTTAGCAAGCTATTTGGTTTTAATGATCAAACTCTTAGTTCTGCCAAACTTGGAATGGTTTCTTCCTCACAGTTGTTTCCTGGGTACAAAATTATCCCAGCAGAACGAATTTTTGAGTCAGAGGTATATATTTTTTTATAGCAGGAAGAGCCAATATGGAGTGTATTGTTCCTGTCACCAAGAGAGAAAAATGAAACACAGTGAGCTAATCTGTATGCAGATGGAGAGCAAACTGAAAATACCAAATTGCTTTGTGTTTATGTGAAAATGTTTGATCTACACATTTTTCCAGTCCCTACTGTTTTAACACCTACTGGGCATGAGTTCAGGTATTCTAATAATTCTAATAATGTGTTCTTCCATAATAAGAGTGCTTTTCAGTGGTCAGGTGCTGTCAAGAGCAATTGATTAACTGTTATTGTACCTCCTATATACTACATCTACCCATACTTAAAAATACTCACAAAACAAAATCTGCATAGAATGGTTACAAATAAAACTCAGTGCAGACTATCCACAAAGTGACTTCCACATGATCATTTGTTGAGTCTAGACTCGAGTTTAAAACAAGTACCACCATCGAAAATACCAAAAAGTCCCACCATTTTAACTACTTACTAATTAACTTGAATGTCTAATTGTAAACTAAAAACGTAGATTACTAATACTAAACTTAACCCTTCACCAAACACAACTGGCAAAGTGGCACACACTGACCAACCTGAGCTGAACCAACCTTGCTAGTGGATAAAAACCCCAATGAACTTGAGATTCACAACTAAAGATGTGTTCCAAAATCCTAACAAAAAACCTAAAGACTTTTGGATTGCTGAATGATTGTAATGATTTGAACAATTTTAGTTTCTAGACTAAAGAAAACAAATGGGCTTTTGATCAGGGACGTGTCATTTGGCTTTGAGTCTCTGCTCCAGACGGTTTTGTTTGTTGGACATAAACTTTTTTTTTTTTTAGATTTACATCATAATTCCATTTATGATAGTGAATTATCTTGTTAGGGCGGCACGGTGGATCTGCTGGTAGAGCTGTTGCCTCTCAGCGAGAAGGTCAACGGTTCAAATCCTGGCCGGGGGCCTTTCTGGGTGGAGTTTGCATGTTCTTTATGTGCATGTGTGGGTTTTCCCCGAATACTCCAGTTTCCTTCCATAGACCAAAAACATGCATGTTAGGCTGATTGGTAACTCTAAATTGTCTCTAGGTGTGAGTGAGAGAGTGAATGGTTGTTTGTCTCATTTGTCTCTATGCGTCCCGGTGATGGACTGGAGACCTGTCCAGGATGTCCCCCGCTTATAGCACGGTGATAGCTAGACATGGACACCAGTGACCCTCGCAACCCAAAAAGGAAGAAGCGGGAAAAACATAATGAATGGATGGATGTAAATAGTTGATGAGTACTACCAGTTGTACTTGTACCACAATTTGAGAACCATGGCTTTAGACACCTTGTTTACAAACACTCTTGGTGTCTTTTATTTTTTTTTTATAATAAATGTGTAAGAAATAATAAAGTTAATGACATTTAACTTCTTTGAATATTCATAAACAGCAGAATCTTTTCATCATAATGAGACATCATAGCAAAAACAAAGGAGAAAAAATAAAACTGAATTTGCTGAAAACTGACCTGCAGTAAAATTAGTATGCAAGACTGAATTTGCTCAACTGTACTATAAAATGAATTTGAAAATTGGTGTGAAATGATCTTAAGTTCAAGTAATCAAATTCTTGTATTTCTAAGTTTTATTAGAAAGAATAACTTGACACATGAAACAAAAAATACAAAAGACTGTGGCGAGTACTGAGCCTAAGACAAAAAAACTTGGTGTAGAGCTGAATAATTCAGCAAGACACGACTCACACCCTTTGCTGCACATATATGCGCGCGCGTGTGTGTGTGTGTGTGTGTGTGTGTGTGTGTGTGTGTGTGCATTAAGTACTTGGCGCTGGTCAGTGTGAATTCGTGGGAGTGCTTAGCTTGTGAGCTGATGTCAGATGGGACTTTGATCCAATCTTTTTAGAGTTAACTTGTTAGTAGTGTGAGTCTGCCTTCCTTTTGGGGACAAAACAGCTTCATATAATAAAAGTAAACAAGTTTTAGAGTGATAACTGTTTTTGAAGTTGAGTGATGGAGTGAGGAATGTAATGGTTATATGTACAGCTACAACAAACCTGAAGAAAACAGATATAAAAAAATGTTTTGTCCTCTGAAGTGAACAAATCAGATATGCCCGTTCATGTGTAGCAGTGTGTCTTGTACTAGAGAGACAGACTTGCTGGGCTATTATTGTGTGGGGTGTTTTTAATCGCTCTAGAACAAAACAATGCTGTCGAGCAAGAATGGAATAGTTTCCACTTGTGCGTGTAACTTTGTGTCAAGTCTGTATGAATAAACACAAAGATATTTACCTGGCATTAGCAACACACTCCAGCGTAGCCTCTGTCCCCACCACCACTGTTGTGTTTCGAGGTAGAATCACAATCGCTGGAGCCACAAGCTCCAACTCAGAATCTACAACAAAACAAAAGGGAAATAAAAGAATGGTGACCTCATAAATCATATTCACACACACAGCAGCATGATCATAGCAACAAACTTTTAAATGCAGAATCATGAAGTCCTATATACAGCATTGTTCTTTTTAATGACACATTACACAGAACATAATGGCATTCATAATTTCAAGTAACACTTAGCAGAAGCAGCTCATTTTCAAAGTGATAAGTAGCCCACTCTGTTTTCACTGATAACTACAAAATCAAGACCAACTGTCAACTAGTTGAACACTAGAGTTGATTTCTGGCATGTCAAAAACGACATCTGAGCATTTAGTGTAAGTAGACCAGAAAAAAAAAAAAAAATTGTGTTACGCTCAGAAGATCACAAGACACGATACTTTAAAGTCCAATACCACTAACAAGCTGCTGGAATCTGGCCCCAAAACATCTCCAGCTCGAACTGACTTCAATTAAAAACAAAGTCATAGCACACTGTCATGTGCCTTAACAGTGTTATTAGGTAAATTTCCTGCCTAGGTGCTGGTGGAAAGTTTGAGGAAAGTTTTATAATTCACTCAATTTTCTTTGTCAAATGTGTCTCCTTAATATCAACAAAATGGTCACTTCTAACTCTGACAAAATGTTTTAGAAATTGTTAAGTGTCGACATTGGTTCTATCCAATTTTCCTTTTCTTCTTTTTGGTATATATTTTTGAGGGTGTTTAGCCTTTGTTAGGTGCAATAAAGGCAGAAAGAGAATACACTGTAGAAAATATGCAGCAAAGAATGGAGTCAAACCAGGCTGCTGCTGAAACAACTCAGCCTTTGGCATACAGGGCACCATGCTATGTCGGCTGCTTTTATGCTGTTTATGAATAGAAAACAAAAACTAAGTACTTATTTGTATTTTCTCTTAGAAAGTGTTCATTGCACCCATTAAAAAGAAAAGAAACTGAAATAATGGTATTCAATTCTTAAATTTAAACTCAAATTTAAACAAAGCAATTAATGCCTTAAAGGGAAAGCATTATAGACTTTTCTGTGTTGGATAATGCCAACTAGCTGTGGTAGCCATCTTGAATAAAACTGACTTCAAAAGTTAATAAGTTGTCCAGTAGATGCACAAGAAATGACTGCATTCTGGGAATTTTATTTAAATCCTTCCTCTGGCTCAATATGAAATATTCTCTTAATGCTACAGACAATTACAAACATTAGACAAGAGATAAAAAGCCCAATTAAAGTCAACTGCAAGCAGCCACACACACTAACCCAGATCCATTCATTTTTTTTTTTTTTTAAGTAAATTATGGAGACTCGTAGCGCAATAAATAATAGGTGGCTAACTTTGCACAGGAGCTTCAAAAGGTACAGATGCAGAGACATATTAAAAAAAAAAAAAGCAGAACTATTCAGTCTGTTTTAAAATACTTGTTTTAGACAACAACAGGAAACACATCTACAGAATTAGATATTACAGGGATGGATGTGGAAATGATGTTGGTGAACATCCACCTATTCTACTGCAGTCACTGTGCGAGAAACAAGTCTATCCCAGGGACATGTAGAGACAAGCAACACTTACTCACACCTGGGGATCAATTTTAGACTTATAGTTAACCTAACATGTATGTTTTTAAGCTGTGGAAGGAAAATGGAGTAGCAAGAGAAAACACACTCATGTAAGAGATTATGCAGACTTCACATAGACCTTCCCTCTGCTGGAATAATTGTACACATGGCTGCATTTACTAATAGCCTCGGCTAGCTTCTCCTCAGCGAAGCAATCAAAGCAAAAGAACGTCAAGACAGTTCAGAAACTTTTCGGCATACATACACCCACAACAAAGTTTCGATCAATCACACACTACTTGACACATACCTCTTAATAGAGCCCAACCAATATATTGGTAGGGCCTATATTTTAGGCTGATAAAGGCATTTGGGGACCTATCGGTATCGGTGATAATTGCCTCATTATACGTCGATAAACACTTTTAATTTTCACCCCTAAAATGCAGTGAATGAGCCGTGTCCTTACTTGCAAATTATGTAGATGTAAAATGTATCCAGCAGAGGGCACATGCGGACTACTTTCAAGTCATGGCCATGCACTTTGTTTCCCTTTCAGCACAGCCGAAGCAGGGATCAATACTGTGTAGCATATTTTGCTGAACAAAGCATGGTAAGTTTATTGTAAATGATCTGTTAAATAAACTAAAACATCCACAAAAAAAATTATCCAATTCTCCAACTTGCTTGTCAATTTAGCTACGTGCTTCTCAAGTTAGTGGGCTAAAGTTTAGATAACCTAGGCTAATGCATTGAAAAACTTTATCCAGAACATAAAAGCTAACGTAGAGGTAAAATATATCAGTGTTAGTAACGTTATCTTTGTCGTCCTCAAGGAAATGCATTGTTTGTATGAACTCTTTACTTCTCTGAAAAAATAAATAATAAATAACACAGCTGTGGTCAATACTAAATTCGGCCTTCACCATAGTGCCTATTTAAACAATGAACAGGGAAAGATGTTTCTTTAATTTATATTTTTATAACACACTTAATAACTTTATGGTGAAGAGTGGAGAATAGAAAATATGAACACACGTTAAGAAGACTGTTTTCAGGACTTCAAGCGTTAAAACGGGTTTAAAAGTAGCTGTTTACTTAGATTCTTGGGGGTGGACAAAGCTAAAAAAAAATTAGCCAATGTATCGGTTATCAGCACTACCCTTCCCCTCCCAGTATTGGTATCGGTGATACGCCTGTAGCGATAAACAATAAATCAATTAATTGCATGATAAATGAAAATGATCAACCTCATTTTCATTTATTGGCTTTATCGTTTCTTCTTGTCTCTCTCTTTCTACTGAAGACACGGATCAACTCCGGTGCTCTTCACTGACTCTTCCCTTTCTCTTTTCTCTTTGAAATTTATTTTAACCGTCCAAATCCCATTTTTGGATCGTTAAAAGCAGCTAAGCTGTGAAGCTAAGCTACGAGCTAAGCTAACAGGCGGACCTCGGGAAAAATCCTCTGTCTTGTCAAAGCTCCAAAAGTCACGGTTGAAACCCGTGCCTTCGTCTAAGAAGTTGTTTTTCGCTGCAAAAAGAAGCTGAGAACTTGTTTACTGTTTTTTTTAATTTTTTTATTAAAAGCTTTGTGTGACAAATGCTACGCCAACGAGCTCAAACCACACAGAGCATCCACCATTTTGAGAACTGAAAAACAGGAAAGAGAGACAGCCATGTCATGTCAAAGTGCCTCCCTCCCATTTTTCTTAAAGAGACACGCTGCTCGCTCCCTCACTATCCATCCTTCGGTTCAAACAGTCTTATATTGCCATCTGGTGGTTGAAAAAATATACTACACTCAAACATTAACCAACATTCTTTTTAAATTTGACAATTACAAATTATTGTCAAATTTCAAACAATATTATTGTTTATTGCAATAACTTCTGAGACAATTAATCGCCCAGCAAAATTTGTTATCGTGACAGGCCTAATTGGCGATAGCCAAATTTTCTATATCAGTCGGGCTCTACCTCTTAACAACCACAAAAAAAGTTATGTCCAGACAACAGGCTTTCGGAGCTCATGCGACAACAAAATTATGTGATTTTTATAATGCAACTATGTTGGCAAGGGCCAATATCTTTACTTCTTGCAAAGTAAGAATCCAACTTATGTCTGGTGTATATGCAAAGTGTAAAACCAAATAAAAGGGGTGAGTGTGTGAATAAAATGTGTAAATCTAAGAAAGTTTTATATTTTCTACTTCTTCTAAATTGCTTGTTTCTAAAAAATATTTTCTTCTCATGTACACAATCTAATTCTCAGTTACTTGTTTTCCAATATATTGGAAATACCATGGCTGTGTGTGTGTATGTGTGTGTGTGCGTGCAAGAGAGAGTTACCCCTGTATGTGTTAAAAAAAGATTTATGACCTAAAAGGTGTGTGGGAGAGTATGATTGTGTGTGAGAGTATGATTTATGGCCTGAATGGCCTCTCCTAAGCGAAAGGTCTCACACAGATTGTTATCTGCTGGAAATGTACAACATTTGCTAAGATAAATAGTGTGGAACCAGTTGAAACGGCAATCAGATATTTTTTTTTTTTTTGTGGTATTTGTTTGCATGAAGTTGAAAAATTAATGCACTGAAGATGAGTGTCCATGTTAGTGAGCATGTAAGGTTTTCCTCATAGACTTTGAAAATGATGAATATTTAGATTTTCAATAAGGGAGAGTAGTAAGAGCAAATTAACAGACTGGTTCTGATAGAAGCTGAGGGATGGGGGTTGAGATGAATGGGGGGGAAGGTGGGAGAATCAGCTTTGATCTCCCCTTTGAAGGGAAGAAAAAAAGGTAGTAATTGACTCTGCTCTTTAGTCCTGCTTCACATTCTTGCTCTACTCTTTTTTTTATCAGATGGAAAGTGCTGAAAAGAAATCAAGATTAGTTTTGTCACTATCACCATAACACACCTAAGCACTTGCACATTGTACCAATATTATAAAAACTGGACACTGGTTATCGATTTTGATGTCTAATCAAAATTTAAAAAGTTTAAAACCTATATATTATTTCTTCATTTTGTTTCATAACCCATCAAAGATAGAGAGGAAAGGCAATGTGAAGTAACACATCCCTTCTGGTTGTTGTTTGCAGAATTAGGTTAACTCTGACAAACATTTGCCTCATCAAAAAACATGAAAATGTTTCAAAACTATCGGTGAGGCAAAAAGCACTGAAGACTAAAAATACTAATGTTTTACTACTTTGAGAGCACAAGAGCATCACCTATTACTCTCTGTCAAGTCACACTTTGTTGAAATGAAGATTTGCCATTATTTACAACAGAGTGTTCAAGTTCAAGGTTCTTTATTGCCATTTGAATCATATGTGGTACATGAGGTGGAACGAAATTGTGTACTCAGGGTCCCAATTACACTCAAAAATAGCTAAAAAAAAAGTATAAAAACAGTACATAAGGATCTAAGATATAC